CCCTAAAGCAAAGCAGATATACATATCAAAGGTAAGGTTTGGTATACAGTAGGCATTGTCAGGTTGGAAAGAACTGCCTTCAGCTGTCAGGCAGCAGGCAATAATATATGCAAATCTTTAGGTTTGGGGAAATGCTTTCAGCTATTCCAGCAGGCAGGAATATGTATCTTCAGCCCTGCTGAAGCCCCAAGTTCCATCAACCTTTTCATGAAACTTCTTGCATTTATGACATGCTGGAATTAGCCTCCAGCAGAAAGTATTATAGATGTCCTCTATTTTCTCTCCATTTGCCCCCTCCACCCAGCTCCCACCCTACCCCAGGACTATTGTCTGTGTCCATGGGCTATACATATTTGCATATAAGTTCTTTGGTTAATCCCTCCCCACTTCCCTCTGAGATCTGTCAGTCTGTCCATACTTCCATGTTTCTGAACCTATTTTGTTCATCACTTTATTTTTTTCATTAGATTCCACATTTAAATGAGATCATGTGATATTCATCTTTCTCTGACTGGCTTATTTCACTTAGCATAATAATCTAACTGAGGAGCTAAATGCTTGGTTAGAAGTTATCTCAAATAAAATCTTAGAATTTCCAAAATCCTCATACTACTAAAATTGTCAGGATATACGTGTCCTGAAATTCAGAGAGTAATATCCACTCCTCGTGTATTTATAGGCTATCAGAGCGCTATCTTAGATATCATATCATTTTATTCAGATGTCCTTAGTTTTAAACAAATGCCCTCTTTCTGTTCCAGAACTCCATCCAATCTACCGCATTACATATGACTGTTATGTCTCTTTAGGCTCCTCTTGGCTGTGACAGTTTTCAGAAGTTTCTTGATCTTAATGACTTTAACAGGAAGACTGCTGATCAGGTGTTTTATAGGATGCTCTTCTACTGGAATTTTATACTTTGGTAATGAATAGACTGTCTAGTAGGTTCTAAAGAGAAGGTCCCTCTAAAATTTCCCTGGGCTTCACCTACTTATCCCTCCCCTCTCCTCTGAACCCTTGATGACCACTGATCTTTTCATTATCTTCATGCTTTTGCTTTTTCCAGAATGTCATCTAAGTGTAATCATATAGTATATAGGCTTTTCCGATTGACTTCTGTCATTTAGCAATATGCAACTGAAGTTCCTCTGTGTCTTTGCATGATCTAATAGCTTTTTTTAAAATCACTGCATAATATTCTATTACATGTGTACTAGAGGCCCGGCACACGAAATGGTGTGCAGGTACGATCCCTAGGCCTGTGATCAGGGCCATCTTCCCCAGCTGCCAGCAGCTGGCCCCGCCACCCACCCTGGTTCCCGTTCTCCATCAGGCGATGGGAGCCTGAGGTTGGCCGTTCCTGCCTGCTCGCCGGCCCCACTCCCACCGCGGGTCGCCCTCTGTGTGTGGGGTGACTGGCAGGGCAGGGGTCTTGACCTGGCACCACCCACATCCTCTGCCACCCACCCCAGTTCCCTGTTCGCCATCGGCGATCAGAGCCTGCAGGACCAAGCCCCTTCTGCCCACTTGCCAGTCCTGTCTCCCCGCCACCACCTCGCCAGCCCCATCCCCATGGTGGGTTGCCCTCTGTGTGTGGGGTAAAGAGCAGGGCGGGGGCCTTGGCCTGGCACTGCCCGCATTCCCCCGGCACCCACCCAGGGTCCCTGTTCGCAATCGGTTGGGGAAAGGGACCAAGAGGTGGTCAGTGCACCTCAGTGACCGGTCGAGTGGTTGTTCTGGTCGTTCTGCCTTTATGGTTGTTGGGCTTTTATTATATAGAATACCATAATTTGTTTATTCATTCACCTTTTGTAAAATCTCTCAGATGCTTCCAGTTTGAGGTGATTATAAATAAAGCTGCTATAAGCATTTGTGTACAATTTTTTGTGTGAACATATGTTTCAATTCAAATGGGTAATACCAAAGAGGGTGATCACTGGGCTGTATGGTAAAATCTGTTTAACTTCGTAAGCATCTGCTGAACTGTCTTCCAATGTGGCTGTACCATTTGCTTTCCCACCAGCAATGGAGGAGAGTTCATATTGATTCACATCTTCACCAGCACTTGGTATTGTCACTTTTTTTGGATTTTGGACATATTCATCCTGTTGAAATGCATGATATTCTTCAGGATATTATGGGATTTATCATGAAATTGGGACTGTCTTGGATGATCTAGCATATGTATAGTATATAGTTATGGTATCAGTTCATATTCTGTCAGGAAAATAAAGCCACTATGAATATTAGAAGAATAAGGTATTTAATTAGGAATGAGGAGTTAGATGAATGTGGGAGGAGCAGGGGAAGAGATCTGTAAGGCTGCAGGAGGAGGGTGTCAGCCAAAGCATTGGGACGGGGAGAGAAGAGATGGTCCCACCTCTTGTCACCATGATGGTAGAGTCACAACTTCCAGAGAGGTTGCAAAATTGTTACATCAGATGCAACCTCTAAGTGGGAGCTTGTGAAGATATTACACAGTACTGTCTGACCTCCATGATTGTCCAAGAAACAGTGCCTACCACTTCATTTTCACCTTCCAAGTTTCTCATGAGTTTTTCTCATGGACAAATGCTAACCCATAGAACACAGAGATTCTAGAAAAAATAGTTCCTAGCTTTGTAAGGAAGTGGTGTTGCTAGGTAACCAGCACACACAGGCATATACACACAAAATACATGAACATGTATACAATCATAAATTATTTTCAGTGAGGTTATAATACAGTTTTTCTCATAAAATGTATGTCACAACTTTAGCAGATTACTAACTGCAAGTCATCTGCACACTCATACTATGTCTGAAAGTTAATTGTGCTATAAACAAATCCTACCACCAGGTACTTTTTGACACAGAGAAGTATCAAGTAAAAGATCAGGCTAAAATTCCACACAGATAGGAAAAAACAAGTTTTTTCCTGTTTCCTTTTGATCTTTCATACTGCCCACCTCTTTTCAGTCCAAGGCTTGAACCTGTCCAAAACAGCTCCCCACAATAAGGTTTTAATCTGTTTCTTTGTTACTAATGTTGTGTCCCCACCCCATAACAAAGAAACAAAGGAAAATTTCCCCATCGAATTTCTGAATAGTATTACTCCTTCGGGAATACCATGTCATACATTAAAATTGAAAGTGGGTGCAATCATCATGCTATTGAGAAATCTCAATAGTAACTGGGGTCTTTGTAATGGTACCAGATTTATTATCAAAAGATTACGACCTAACATT